GCGAGGGAGTCTTCGCCTCTGTAAAATTAATGAAACCAAAAAGAAACAGAAAAAGAAAGGCTTTGTGCTGGAGAAATACACCTGAAATCACGAGCAAGTGTAGTGCGACAAGATGAGCAACGCCGTCATGCGGGCATTCAATCATCCTCCATTGCTTCCCTCCCTTTGCTCCTAACGTACAAGGTGCCGACATGCCCTCCAGCGTCTCCTTCTATTATTCTTTATTTAGCGCTCATTGGTGAGGGGGGGAGGCAATACAGGCATGCGACAGTCCGTTGGCCGCTCGTGGCCGGCATACCACTACTGCAATGTATTGGGTCGCGGAGGTCTCGGGCGCCTCTCCACCAACACCAAGCCACCGGCACCACCGATACCAACACAACCGCTACGGATGTTTCCTGGCCTATCGGTTGCAGTGTGGGCAACTCCGACAGTTGTTGGTACGCCGCCGGCCACGCCCGGTGTTTGTACTAACACCGCACGCGCACTCACCGCGCCAGCCAGGAGTTTTACCTTTTGTGTGTTCTGTTTCCGCTCCGTCCGTCCGCCCAACATTACGCTGGCCTGGGCGCGGTGTTGGGCCACCAACCTGCTCGGCGTGCGCTGACGTGTCGGCCCTGGTGGGTCGTGTGGCGGTGCGTGTGGGCGTGCGGGGTTGAAATGGGCCAACAGCAGGCGAGCGGAGAGTTGACAGAGGGCCGGCTTCTGGCTCACCAGACCAGGTATAAAAGCCACCACCTGAGCCCTCCACTTTCCCTTCTTACCCAAAACCGCACCGGCACTCAGGCTCACTCGCTCGCTCTCCAGTTGTCCAGAAAGCCAAGGTAAGGCTCAGCCCTGCCCGACACCCAACAACAACAACAACGACAACAAACCAAACAACACGCTACACAACAGAGAGTGACTTAGATCTTCTTGATGTGGTGTGTTATACAGACTCTTGACAGGAGATTCTTCGCTCATTCGATCTTTCCTCAACACCAACAACTACTCTCAACACCGCTGCTATTCTACTCGTATCAACAAGACCGTCATGTCAATCAACGTACCCCAGTTCTCCGAGGTCGCCACGGGCACCATCGGCTTCCCGCGTGTGGGCAAGGACCGAGAGCTTAAGAAGGCGCTCGAGTCCTACTGGGCCGGCACCACCGACCGTACCCATTTGCTCGACGTGGCCGCCCAGGTCGAGAAGGCCAACCTCCTCGCCCAGGTCGACGCCGGCATCGAGCGCATCGGCGTAGGCAGCTTCAGCCTCTACGACCAGGTCCTCGACTGGACCTTCCGCCTCGGCCTCATCCCCTCGCGCTTCGCCAACTCGGGCAAGGTACGCACGCATGCGCCCTTCCTGTGTGGTGTCAGTATTAGGCTGCGTGTGCGTGTGCAACGTGGAATGTGTGCGTGTTGCGTAGAATTTGCGTGATGTCGACAAACATTCACCGTTTCACAAATGTTGTGGGCATTGCATTTTTAAATGTTATTATTGTTATTTTTAGGAGGGTCTGGACCTGTACTTCGCGCTGGCTCGCGGTATCCCCGGCGCCAGGGCGCTGCACATGACCAAGTGGTTCGACACCAACTACCACTACCTGGTGCCCGAGATCGAGGAGCCCTTCCTCGCCGGCAAGTTCGCCGCCGAGGTCGACTTCTCCGACTTCCTCCAGCAGATCGCCAAGTCCCGCGACATCGTCGCCGCCGCCGCTGCTGGCAAGACGGTAACCTTTCTTTGGTCTACCACCCATTACACTCCGAATTGTTGCACTGACACACATACACGCACACATGCACACACGCACATTCAGGTGCAGTCGCTGCCCATCGTGCTCGGACCGGTGACGCTGGTCAAGCTGTGCCGCTACATTGTCGGCGGCGCGCAGCAGGCGGCACCCGAGACCAAGGCCCAGCTGGCCGCGGCCTTCCTCAAGGACCACGTCCTGCCCCACTACGTCGAGCTGTTCAAGCAGCTTAAGGCCGCCCACGTCGACGAGGTGCTGTTCCAGGAGCCCATTCTCGTGGTCAACCACGACGCCGAGACCCGCGCTCTCCTTACCCACGTGCTCGAGGCGCTCGCCGACGGACCCAAGGTCCACCTCGTCACCTTCTTCGACGACCTCGGCGAGGAGACCTTCAAGTGGCTCCAGGCCGCACCCAAGAACGTGGTCGGCGTCAGCCTGGACTTCACCCGCGGCGACAACGCCGGCCTCCTGGCCAAGCACGGGCTGCCCAAGCACCTCACCCTCGGCGCCGGCGTGGTTGATGCCCGCAACGTCTGGCAGATCAACGTACGTGGCGCGTAGGCGTCTAGATGCCACATCCACCACACACGTTATTATCGACACTGACGCGTGCCGCCGCTCTCGGACAGGTTGATGACGTCATCAGCAAGCTCGCCGCCATCCGCGCGTCGTTCGAGGGCAAGCTGGTGGTCCAGCCCTCGGCGTCACTCCAGCACGTGCCCTACGATGCCACCGTGGAGACCAAGCTGCCCTCGGCCCTGCGCCAGGTCCTTGCCTTCGCCTTCCAGAAGCTCAAGGAGGTCGACTTCATCGCTAGGCTCATCAAGAAGGGTACTACTTCAATCGTTTTCCACTTCACGAGATCTCAGTGAACTCAGTCGCGTGGCGTGTGTGTCTATCGTGTGTCGAATTAAGATGGTGACAATGCCGCTGCGCTAGAGGAGAAGAAGGCGATCGAGGAGGCCTGGTCGGCGTTCCACTCGGCCAAGCCCTCGAGCGAGGCCATCCGCACGCGCATCGCCAACCTCAAGGAGGAGGACCTCAAGCGCGCCCAGGCCTTTGCCCAGCGCAAGCCCCAGCAGGTCCCTCTGCCTCTGTTCTACACCACCAGCATCGGCTCGCTGCCGCAGACCACCACCGTGCGCGGCCTGCGCGTCAAGCTGCAGCGCGGCCGCATCACGGCCGACGAGTACCGGTCGCAGATCGACCAGCACATCGCCCACTCGATCGGGCTCCAGGAGGGCCTCGGCATCGACGTGCCCGTCCACGGCGAGTTTGAGCGCACGGACATGGTCGAGTACTTCGGCCAGAAGATCGACGGCTTTGCCTTCACCAACAACGGGTACTTCAACATGGCCATGTTATGTGTCATGTGGGTCGTGCGCTTAACTAATGATTGATGTGGTTTACAAAACAAGTTGGGTGCAGTCGTACGGCAGCCGATGCGTGCGTCCGCCCATCATCTGGGGCGACCTGAGCCGCAGCGGCGGTCTGGCGATGACCGTGCGCGAGTTCGTCGTGGCCCAGTCCTACACCCACCTGCCGGTCAAGGCCATGCTCACCGGCCCCACCACCATTCTCAACTGGTCCTTCCCGCGGGCCGACATCACCCGCCGCGAGCAGGCCCTCCAGATCGCCCTGGTCCTGCGCGACGAGATCGACGACCTGACCAAGGCCGGCGCCAAGGTGGTGCAGGTCGACGAGCCGGCCCTGCGCGAGGGCCTCCCGCTCAACGCGGCCCGTCGCGACGCCTACCTCCAGTGGGCCGTCGACTCCTTCCGCCTGGCCACCGCCGGCGCCCCCTCATCCGTCCAGATCGTCACCCACATGTGTACGCCCATGTCGTGTCGTGTCGTGTCGTATTATGCCGTGCTGATTGATGTTTTGTTTCAGGCTATGCTGAGTTTGACGACGTGATGGCGGCGATCGACGCGCTCGATGCCGATGTAATCTCGATCGAGAACTCGCGTAACAACGACAAGACGATTAAGGACCTCACCGCCTACGGCTACGAGCGCGACATCGGCCCCGGCGTGTACGACATCCACAGCCCGGTGGTGCCCACCGTCGACGAGATTGTCGAGAAGCTGCGCCTCTTCCTCAAGCACCTCCACCCGTCGCGCGTCGTGGTCAACCCCGACTGCGGCCTCAAGACCCGCCAGTGGAAGGAGGTCGTGCCGTCGCTGCGCAACATGGTCACCGCCGCCAGCATCCTGCGGGCCGAGTACGAGTCCAACCAGCAGCACCGCAAGAACGGCCTGGCCAACAAGAACGTCGACTCGCTCAACAAGGACAGCGAGGAGACCAAGGGAGGCGACGCCTAGACGAAGACTGTCCGCCAACACTGCCCCAGCCTCTTGCGTGCCCACTTATTGTGCACTTTCTTGTTTGGCTTTGGGCATTAAAAAAAAATCAAAATATATATTGGTCTCTCTCTGTCCACCAATGAAGTGTGGCCTCGAGGCGGCGCCGTTGTGCTGGCTCGAGCCCGAAACTTGTAACTTGCGTGGACCGCAAACACTCTCTTCACTTCAGGACAGTGCCAACAGCCAATGCACCAGCCGGCCAAGCGTGCCAACAAGGGGCCAGCGATCAACCAGGCCTTGGTTGTAACGCTCCTCTGTTGCTTACTTGCTCCACCGTACGCGGTTAGACTGGCGGGGAGGTTAGTGCACCTTCTTCTCACTTCCCCCCCCCTCACCCCGTAGAGTTGCGGGAGTTACCGTCTGCCCCACGGGGTGCGATTACGCATCGATCGGGGAGGCGGCAACCACTTCTCCGGCAGGCTCGGTCATTCTGATCGATCCTCAACCCTACAACGAGCCCGCCATCAACATCACCCGGCCTCTCACCTTTTCGTACCATTGCTTCACCCCTTTCCTTTCGTTCGCCTCTTCTTTGAACAAGAAGCAAGCACCAGCATAACCTCATTTGGCGGGGCAAGTGTAATGAACAACGGAGTTGTAGTTGTCAACGGAGTTGGCAAGTGGCTGAGCATTCGAGGTGTCAGTTTTAGCACCATCGGCACCTTCCAGCTGAACAACGCCAGTACGTTCACCGTGCCCATGGCCCACATTCAGAATGTGACGAATGCAGAATATACGTGCGTGTCGACATATTGTATATCTTACAAAACTAACATCTTCTGTGCGACCAAAGGTGTTGAGGTTGTTGCGGGAGGAACGTGGGACCAGGTCGGCGACGTATCACTGGTAGTTCCTGCGACGACTCCGGATGAGCTGGTAGGCGTAACGCTGGACAATGCCACCTGGGTGCAGCGCGGCGACTTCGACTGCACGTTCCAGCAGTGGTCGGGGGTCCACCTCAAGGGCGATCACGCCACGTGGCACCAGCATGGCCAAGCGAGCTTCACGAGCACAAACGCTGGCTACATATCCCGAGCTGGTATGCAACCCATCCTCGGTTTTAGAGGTGTGATGATACTTCTGACCAACAACGAATTGGCAGGAATTACGATTGGGGCGCTCCAGACTGCGCTGTGGAATCAAACGGAGAGTGTGACTTTCAACATGCAGGGTGAGCAGTTGAGCGGCAGATGTGCGACACCCTCATACTTTCACCTGTTTACAATCGTGTTCACCCAAGCGCTCCCAGGTATTGAGGTCACAGCCGTGCAGAACTCCTCTGTCACGTGGCTGCAGAAGGGAAATGTGACGATTGCCGCCACAGGCGTGGGGCCGGGGTCGATTGGCGGTGAGCCACTCAGCTCTGCATTGCTTTCTTGCTTGCCCATCACTTACGACGATGTGGTGCTAGGGATTCAATTTGACGCCTTTGTTCCGTTTGTCAAGCTGGAGTGGGTGCAAGAAGGGTCGGTGACCATGGATGTCGAGGTAGTTGAAGGTACCGCCAACCTTCCAGAACCCAAGCGCACCTTGGGTTTTCTGTAGTTTGATTGCACCTTTTTTCTCATTTGTTTGCAGGTCAAGCTGTGGGCATCTGGCTAGGCCCGCAGCCACCGGGCGGAGGAGCGTATTGGAACCAGATAGGCGATGTGTCCATCAACATCACCACCAGCAACGCCTTTCTGACACGAGGTAAGAGAGCGATTGCCTTGTTGTCTTCCCCGCCTGCTGTCGGTCGCTCACAACAGAACACGCACGCAACGCAGGTTGCATTGTGGCCAATTCTCTGTGGGACCAAAAAGGGGACATGACGGTGTCGCTTCGAGGAGCCGGCAACTCTAAGCTCAGAGGCACGAAACATCTTTTTGCTCCAATCTCAACGCCTTTTCCTTTATCTAAACAAAACTGCAGGAATCGTGACAGAGGATTATCTCAATTGGGTCCAGCACGGCGACCTGTCAGTGCTTCTGTCCGACACCACGAGTACGTTGTTGGCACTCAAGCGGTCTCCCGCCCCAAAACATTGACTCTTTTTCTGACTGACCTCGCTGGCCGTCCCTCCCACTCGACAGGCCAATCCAGCAGCCTGCTGGCGGTGTCCTACGAGGGCGGTGAATGGTTGTCCTACGGTCGGGTGGGGCTCACCACCGAGGCCAACACCGAAGCTCTGAGCCAATCGCACGCCCTCCAGTACTCGCCACTCAACGCCGCCGTGGGCGGTTGGGTCAACTTCACCCGCGCGGTACAGTTCCAGGGCGCCAGCCCGAACCAGACCGTCGTGTGGTGCGACGACCCCGACAACCTACGGCCGATCCTGCACGGCCTCCCCATCGGCACCACCGTCGACGGTTCGATTCCCACTCCTTCAACAGCTGTGCGATGTCGTTCACGGCCTGACGCGGAAGCTGTGCCTGCAGGCAACTGCAGCACGGTTCGATTCCTGCCGGAGGCCACGATAGAGTTCGTTACACCGTTCGTGGACCAGTATGTGTCGTGGGACAGGCCGCTGCGCGTACGCGCCAGGGCGACGGGTGGACCCATGACCGGCGGGTTCAGGGTCGGGTTCGTCGCGCATGCAGGCGGCAATCTCACGCTCACCTCCAACGCCTCGAGCTTCTACTTCCCTCCCGGTACTCGAAACGCACTTGCATGCGCATGCACACACACTCACACGCTGGCCTGACATCCACACGCGTACGCACACATCACCGCCACGCACGCACGCACGCACGCACGCACGCACGCACGCACGCACGCACATTAGGTGAGATTCAATCGAGCGTGGTGGAGCTGTACGTCAAGGAGCGGAACGTAGCGCCCAACACCGTCGGCAGCCTGGCGCTCGCCGCTTCGCCATACCTTCTGCGCACGTGGTCAGGCTCCATCGTCGAGTTCGCGATCCGCCCATCGACGTCGGTCTTCTCCAACGCCACCGCGGGCATCCCCTTCCTCCTCGAGCTCGACGAGCTGCGGCCCACCTTCAGCATCCTGCCCGCCGACCCAGCCCCCGAAGGCAAAGCTGCGTCGTTCGCGGCCGATCTCTCGGTCGAGTTCACGTTTCCGCGGCTCAACGAGGTGGCGCCTGACGGGTCAGTCGTACAGAGCGCAGTGCTCGAGGGCAAGTGGCAAGCAGTGTCGAGCACCACCAACGCCACTCAGGAGTTCGTGCTCGAGGTAGTCGGCCTTTTCAACGACACCACGACCAAGGTGGTGGCGACCATATCGCTGTTCGACAGGCCCGGTACTGCATTGTTCGCGAACATTACCCTTCCGCTGAGGCCCGAGCTGGCCAAGCTGTCGCTGGCGATCACCGGCTGGCCGTGGGTCTCGCCCGATAACAACCTCGAGGTGGCCATCGCCGTCTACCCGCCCTTTGCCTCGGCCACAGCCCTAAACACGACGGCCAACATGACCACGTTCGAGCTGCGCGGCCAGCACGGCGGCCGAGTCGACGCCACCATCCGCGTGCTCGATGTAGCGGAAGTCATCAGCAACACAACAACTACAATGACGACGATCGTCACGACGGCCAGCTCCATCAACACAGCCACATCGGAGCTGGTCCTGCGCTTCCCCTACTTCGGCAACGCCACGCTCATTCACGATCCAGGTAATCTTCCCCCAATTCTGATCCTCCTACACGAGATGAACTGATGCCATGGGGCCGCAGACTTTGGGCTTTTCCTGAAGGGAAAGAAGGGCTCGACGGGAGACGATCAGACCTGGGTGATCGCCGTGGCGGTGGCAATCCCTGTGGCGGTTGCAGTGGTGGTGGCGGTGGTGGCGGTGGCGGTGTTGGTGGCGTGGGTGCGGAAGAGGAGGATGAGCGCAGGGCGAGGCTCGATCAACTTCAGCTCGACCGATGACTTCGCACCACCCAAAAATGATGAGCTGTAGATCACAAAAGGCCCAGAACAATCTCCGCAGACATCTTTCATGCCACTCAGGTCCCTGGAGCACTGAGCTGAAGTTTGCGCATACTGTATTGTATCTTTGTATGCTCAGTCACATCTGCTAATGTGCAAAAGGCACAAGCACAAGTTGCAGCCTTCAACATTAAGTCTTCCCGGCAGGTGCTTTGGCGTGGTCTGGCCTTTAGCGTGGCTGACGTGGCCGCACAGAATTTCTGATTAGGTACACTCGGATTGGTCAGCAACATTATTCGTCCGCCAATGGCTACAAAATATTGGGTGCCGCAACAGACAAACCACACTCCTGGCCTCTCTTCTGCAATGCACTTCCGCCTGACCTTTGCTATCCTCCTGGCCGTGCTGGCCTCCGCCCTGGCCTTCGACGGCGATGGCACCTACTACAACGTGGGCCTCGGGGCCTGCGGCCAGTACAACAATAACAACCAGCTCGTTGCCGCCCTGGTAATTGCCCCCCCCCCTCGAACGTATACGCTTACATTTGCCAAACCTTTTGCTCATATTTGTAAATATTATGCAGAACAAGCCCCAGTTTGGCTCTTCGCCTGGTGGCAACCCGAACCACAACCCCAACTGCGGCAGGCAGGCGCTCGTCCACGGACCCAAGGGCCAGGTGCAGGTGACCATCGTGGACATGTGCCCGGCCTGCGGCTGGGGCAGCCTCGACCTCAGCCCTGCTGCCTTCTCCAAGATCGCTGATATGGCCCAGGGCCGCGTCCACATCACCTGGGATTGGGTGTGATCACTGCCGATTAAAAATGTTGTTAAATTAAAAAGAAATGCAGTAGAAGAAAAAAGCAGTTTTATTTTACAGAAGATGGAGCAGTCGAAGAGGGTGCGCGAGACAGCGGAGTCGGGGGTGAACATGGCCATCCCCTACCTCAAGGGTGGCCCCGACGACATCAACATGGGCCAGGGCATGGTCTACTGGCCCCCTCCCGCAGCGAGCCTACAAGTATGACGCAGCCCCTCTTTTTTTTTCCGCACTACTGCACTACTGACAGCTGCCCCACTGGGCACGTCATCCAAGGAGGTGCTGGCCCAGGTCCCCGCCGACGTGCACAGGTACGCACTTACTTACATATTTACAATATATTTATAATTATGTATATGCTTATATACAACAGGCCGCCTTGAATGAGAGTGCGAGCTCAACGCTGACGTTAGTCGTGAGTGCGCAGGTACGGCCCGATCGAAGGCCTGCCGGCCCTGCGCGAGGCCCTGCTGAAGAAGTGCCGGGAGCGCAACGGCATCGAAGGCAAGGAGATACACATCACCTGCGGCGGCAACCAAGGTAACCCCACCTTGCGTCTTTTCTTCTCACGATACCACCCACACGCTCGGCCGAGCTGAGTCGCGCTCGAGGGAATCTTCTTTGGCGCTTTCTCTTAAGAGAACGTGCATTTTTGATGTTCGTACGGTTGTGTGTTGGGGCGACCAGCGTTCATGAGCGTGGTGATGACGATCTGCGATGTGGGGGATGAGGTGATCATCTTCACGCCGTACTACTTCAACCACCTCATGGCCCTGCAGCTCATCAACGCCAAGGTAAGTGGCTCTTCAATCTTCATTACTGGCGTTCAATTCTACACAATGGTCACACACACACACACACACACACACACACACACACACACACACACACACACACACACACACACACACACACACGAATGTAGGCTGTGTTGGCGCCGTGCCGACCGGATGACCTAACGCCGGACCTGTCGGTGCTGCCGTCGCTGATTACACCCAAGACCAAGGCCATCGTGCTCATCTCGCCCAACAACCCCACCGGCGCCATCACCCCGCCCGAGACCATCCAAAAGATACAACAGCTGTGCCTCGATAAAGGTTGGCACTGCACACACACACGACACACGACACGATCACACGATAGCACGACACACACGACACGACACACGATAGCACGACACACACGGCACACACAACACACATGGCGCATAAGTTGGATGATTGTGGGTGCAGGGCTGTGGCTGGTCGCGGACGAGGCCTACGAGGACTTTGTGTTCGACGGGGCTACGCACCGGTCGCCCACGGGACCGAACGTGATCAACATCTTCACCTTCTCCAAGAGCTACGGCCTGGCCGGCTGGCGCGTCGGCTACGTCCTCTTTCCGCCCGAGCTCAAGGGTACATTGACACACACACACACACACACACACACGCACCACCGCACACGACGTGACACACGCTGAACTGCTTGAAATTGGGCAGAGGGCATGGACAAGGTGCAGGACACGGTGCCGATCAACGCGTGTCAGATATCCCAGCGGCTGGCTCTGCACGCGCTCACCAACGCCGGCCCGCAGTGGGTCGCCCAGATGGTCGCCACGCTCCAGCGCAACAGGTAGGTACCCTCTCTCGGCCCAGGCCCGAGGGCGTCGGCCGCTGCTGACGTCAGCAACCGCACAGGGAGTTGGCTTGGGACGCTGTGGAGCCGCTGCGGACGCACCACGAGCGCCAGGGGCGGACGGCGCCCGGGGTGGTGCGCACGCAGGGCTCGCTCTACGTGTTCGCCAAGCTGCCCGAGGGCGTGGACGACATGGCGGCCATCAAGTACCTCTCGCACCAGCACAAGGTCTGTGTGCTCCCCGGCAAAGGTGCGCATCCGTGTGGCGTGTGCGTGTGCGGTGGTGTGTGTGCGTGGGCGTGTGCGTGTGCGTGCTGACGATTTTGCATGATACAGGCTTTGGGGCGCCGGGGCACCTGCGTGTGTCCTTTGGCAATCTGCCGCCGGAGTTGTGCGAACAAGCAGCGCTCCGCCTCAAGCAGGGCCTCCAGGACATCGTCGATGGCAAGCTTTCGCTTTAGCCCAACGTTGTATGCATTGTTTGGCCAGTCACCACCATCGCACACGCACACGCTATCGGTAGATGGTCTGGCGCGGCTCTTGTTCCACGGGCTCCTCAGCGCGGGTGCCGGTGAACCGAAGGTTGCAGTAGTAACCGTCGGTCAGGTTTGTTATCTGTGGTGGGCAGCAGTGAGAGGCAGCAACTGCGTGGAAAGCGTTGGTTGGTGGGGGGTCATGCAGACCAGGCAGCCGGCGAAGAGCTGTGCGGGGTTGAGGGTGCACCCGAGGGGCGAGCGGCAGTGACGATGCGTGGTGGTATCGTTGAAGCGAAGGCGCATGGGGTGGTTGCCCCACCACATGCGCTGCACTGTGGGGTCGTTGCTCACCCTGTGCCACCGCCTGCATGTCCAGCCCCACGTCTTCTTTTTATGCACACAAAACTGCACCAAAGAGGAGAGAAGAGTTGCGCGAACCGACAGACGAGCGCTGCGCGAGGTAGGTGCTTGGGGTGGTCCAGGGCCAGGAAGATGTGCTGCAGCATCTCCTCTGGTAGCTCCTCCACGTTCATCCTCTTGTTTCGGACTGACACAGAAATTTTTCAGAGGCACCTGACTGCCTGAGATGCATGGACTGTGCCAACATGGCACAGTGAGACATGTCTGACACTGATGATGAAACTGTTGGCAATTGTAGAACAGTGTTGCTGCCGGCCAGTCTGGGTGTGGTCTGGCCGTGGATGTGGGTCACCAGGAAGCCGTCAGTCAGGCCACTGCCAAGCCGTCTGGATTTCTTGTCAACCAAGCCGCTGTACGCGATGCGCGGCACCCCGAACAAGCGGCCATGGCATGTGTGTTGCCAAACGCCATGTGTGCAGTAGTGATTGGTTGTACGCGCCGCCGTTGTAGTTGGAGGGGTCGAAGGATTGAAGCTCTGCTCGCCTGGGCGGGCGTGAAGCACCGGTTGGCGGCAACAGGCCGACGTTCCGCCCAGGTACATGCGCCCGGTGGCATCGGCCCCCACAGCGCCCTCGAACACGAGCGTGTTGGGTGTGCTCCGCGCGCTGTTGGTCTTGTCCGTCACCCGCGCCACCACCGGCTGGCCCGACTGGAAGGTGATGGCCGACGCCCTGACGGCCTAGCGCCCGACGAACCCCTGGTGCTGGTCGCGCCGAGTCGGTGACGACCACCTTCCCTCGGCCCGGGCTGACAGTCAGATGACGAAGACAACCCTGTTTGTCTGTGCGATTGGATAGGTTTACAATAAAAGCCAGGTTGAAGACAGGAAACAAGTGGCGTTCTCACGCGCAACTGTCACTGGATCATCGTCTCGGTGAAGCACAGAGGACCCCGGCAGGTGCGCAGCAGACGAAAGAAGCAGTTCATTGACGCGGGGCGTCCTCCATCAAGCGGGGCGTAGGTGGCGTAGAGGCCCGAGATGGCGTTGTTGCCGGGCTCGTAGTAGTTGATGCCGTGGGATTCCAGGTCGTCGGTGTCAGACCAGGTGGTGTCGATCGAGACGCGCGCATTGAGCACCTGACCCACCCTCAGAAGCGGGTAGCCGTAGTTGGCCGGATCGGTGGCCTCGATCGTGCAGTATTGGCCGCTGCCATCAAAGCGGGGGTAAAAGGTGCGGCACACAGCTGGGCCGCCGTTGAGCGACGAGCACGAGTAGAGGCGGCCCAGCGAGGCAGTGGTGTTGAGCCACATGTGCGCGTCGACCATGACTGGGGTCGTGGAGGTGCCGGCGAAGCAGGTCATGTTGCCCTGCCAGGTGCCCAGCTCGGTATAGAACTGCTTGAACTCGCGAGCCACCTGGTCCAGCGAAAAGGCCTTGGTCGGCTCGCAGATGCCCGAGTTCAGAAAGCTGTTCTCGATGGTTCCGCTGACGCTGCGAGCTTGCACGCCTTGGCTCAGTGGGCCGCTGAGCGCTGCGGCGATGCTGGACGTCGTGAGGCCCGACTCGGCACCGCGGGGCATGGCAGCCGCCAGCAAGAGGTACAGCGTGCAAAGGGCCATAGGTGCCGTGTTCATTGCAGGCAATGGCATGCCGACGAGGGCGGTGAATGGCAGCGCGCTTTGTATCGGGTTGTGTCTCTGTTGGCATTGGCCCACAACCAACCAGTGACCGGATGAAACTGCTCTTTATGAAAGCGTGATGAGATGAAAGTGTGAGGAAAGCTCGGTGAAATCAATCAAACCACGATCAAAGGCAACTCGCGTTCCTCCTTCTTGTTGCACAGCAGCCTAGGCCTGCTTGGGAAATCTTGTTGCATTGGTGGCGTAATGGATAATTGAAGGTAAATTAATGAGGGGAAAAACACTGGCCCTCTGAAGGGCGCAGGTGTTAGGGACACCTGGTCACTTGGCCTTCTTTGTCTCCTTGGCTGCGGTTGGGTCGTCGGCGGCTATCGCGGCGGCGGCGGCCTTGGCTTGGGCGAGGGCCTTGAGGTGCTGCACCTCGGCAAAGAAGGCCTCCTCCAGCGACACCACCCCCGCCTTCTCGCCCGCTCCTGCCGCCGAAGATGGAGTGGTGGTGGCGAGCTGGCCGACATCGGACTGCACGGAGAGCATGACCTGGTCGCAGTAGCTGATGAGCGCCACGCCCACGCCGCCGTCGCCCGACTGCGGCACAAATCCCTGGATCGCCGTCGTCCATCAGGATCGGTGTCAGCTTAGCATGCATGTCGTGTGTGTGTCGTGTGTCGTGCGTGTGTGTCGTGTGCGGTGTCGAGTCATGTGCAGTGCCGTACGATGTAGGAGGTGATCTTCTGGCCGGCCATGATGAGCGGCACCTTGGGTCCGGGCACGTTGGTCATCACGCAGTGGGCCTTGGCCAGCCACCTACATGTTCGCCATTATTGGTCAGTCTTGGGTGTCCCTTCTTTTTTGAAGAGTGCAGGGCGGCCGATACCATTTGAAGTGGCGCAGCACCAGCGGATTGTTCAGAAGGCCCGGGATCGCGCCCAACAGCTTAAGAATTCAAAGACCGCACGAGTCAGCCCGACCGCAGCACGACACACACGTCACACACGACACACAACACACACGACACACACGACACACATGCGTGGCACGCACCCGGGTGTTGAAATATTGGATGGGGGCGGCGGGGAGGGTCTTGAGCCGGTTCATGCGGTCGTGCACGGTTCGCAGTCGCTCGATGGGGTCCTCCTCGGACACGGGGAAGTAGAGCCACACCGTGCACACCTTGTTGCCCATCTCCCAGTCGTCCAGACTTCGCAGGCTCACTGGCATGCACAGCACACCACGACTCGTAAGAACAAAGAATGAAGCTCGGAGGAAAAGCGAAGAAGAACGAAGAACGCAAAACGAAGAACGAAGAACGTGAAGTACGACATTTCAAAAAGTACCTGGAATGGCGGTGAGCAGGTCCTTCTCCAACAGCTGCTCGGTCTCGAGAAGGTACGACCTGCTCCCCACACGGGTCAGAGGGACATGTTGTGGGTGCCGCGCGTACTGGCAGTGCGCTATGGATGAGTGTGCGCCGCACCTGAAGGCGGCGGTGAGTGCCGAGACGAGCACGTCGTTGACGGTCACGCCGAAGACAGTCTTGATGAGCTTCACGTCATCTAGGCTCACCGGCTTGGACCACGTCACTATTGCAGCACGCCGTGACTGCCATCAGCACGACACACGACACACGGCACACGGCACACGACACACGACACACACGACACGAGTTGCGTCAAAGGGGGACGGAGCGCACCGGCCTTCTTGGTAGTGAGCCGGCCTTTCATTGATCGCTTGCGGTGGAACGCCACGCCAACAAACTGGAGGTAAACGTAGATCGCACCCACCAGCAGCATCACCAGCTTCACCGCCGTCCGCCCCAACGCCGCCACCTTCGAGCCTCCGCTCTTCTTCCGCCTCATATCCGTCTCTGTTGTGCGGGGTGTGCGTGAGTACCAGAAAAGAATGCGGACAATGTGGCCACAACACTGCGATGGCAAAGTACCGCCGCCTGGGTTGTTGTTGGAGGCCTTCTCCAGCTCGCGGAGCTGCTTCTCGGCCTGGCCGTACTGCATCTGCCGCAGATCGGCGCCCTCCTCGCTCGACGCCATGGTGAGCACGGCCCGGATGCTGCCCTGCCCGTCGGCGATGCAGTGCTGTGCGTGTCGATTAATTGCGGCGGCGCAGGTGAGTTTGTTAAGGAGGCGGTTCACGTCAGCACTAGCAAGGCAGATGGCGGTACGTACGTGGATCTTGACGAACAAAGCGGAGGAGCCGTCGGCGAAGCCCTGGATGTCGTACACCATCCACAGCGGCTTCGAGCGATCGAGCGGCTGGCTCAGCAGATCGCCCAGCACCAGCTTCAGCCGCGCCTCGTCCTCCTCGGTCTCACAGGCGCCTTCTGCCTCCCCATGCTGCCCACATTGACATTCCACGCATATTTTAGCATAGGCGTGAGTGCGTGTGCGTGAGTGCGGTGAGTACCAGAGGAATGCGGGCAATGTGGTCGGCCACGTTCATAGAAGGCACGTCCTCCCAGTAGCTAAACCCGCCAAACACCGACCTAGCCTGCGGGTGCAGTGCTGTTCAGTGCCCAAAACGTGCGTTCAAAAGCACACATGCAGCACACGACACGACACGACCAACGACACGACACGACACGACACGACACACGAAAAGGACAAGTGCAAGGGTACGCGCTGCTGGAAGCGAGGGAAGGTGTCGACGAGCCGCTGGAAGGTCACCCGCACGTCGTCGGCCTTGGGCGGCACTGCGAAGCGCCAGCAGCCGGCGATGGCCATCAGTTGCTCCGGCTGCTCCGCCAGCAGGAACACATTGTCCAGCCCTGGTGCAAATATTACGCGAGACTATTATTATTTATTATTATTATTATTATGTCGTAAATCAACAAAGGGTACCTGAGATTCGACGGCGGAGGATTGACCACAGAGTGGAGGTGGTGTGCGTCCCAGCCGGCTCCGCAGACCCGGTGCGTGTTGCTGCCATCTTTTGTGCTTTTTTGTGTTGTGTTTGTGTCGTTCTTTGCGTGTACAGCGGATAGTTCTGCCATTGGCCCTGTAACTCCTTGAAGGCCAACCAGCCAACTGGGGCTCTGCCACTAGGACAGTTTCTTTTACCTCCTTGGGACCCAGTGCGTTGAATAAAGGAATAAAGGAATAAAACAAATAAACAAATAAACAAATACACAAATACTAATTTTTCACTTGTCCTTCTTGGTCTCGTGGTCGTCGGCGGCTATCGCGGCGGCGGCGGCCTTGGCTCGGGCGAGGGCCTTGAGGTGCTGCACCTCGGCAAAGAAGGCCTCCTCCAGCGGCACCACCCCCGCCTTCTCGCCCGCTCCTGCCGCAGCCGAAGATGAAGTGGTGGTGGCGAGCTGACCGACGTCGGAATGCACGGAGAGCATGACCTGGTCGCAGTAGCTGATGAGCGCCACGCCCACGCCGCCGTCGCCCGACTGCGGCACGAATCCCTGGATCGCCGTCATCCATCAGTGACAATCGGTGTGTGCGTGTGCGTGTGCGTGCGTGTGTCGTGCGTGCCGTGTGGGGGGGAGTGTCGTACGATGTAGGAGGTGATCTCCTGGCCGGCCATGGTGAGCGGCACCTTGGGCCCGGGCACGTTGGTCATTAGACAGTGGCACTTGCCCATCCACCACTTGAAGTGGCGCAGCACCGCCGGATTCGTCAGCAGGCCGGGTATCGTGCCCAACATCTGCAAAACACAAAAGAAAATTATTCACCAAAACAACGACACACACGACACACACACGACACACGCACGACACACGCCGACACGACACGACACGGCGCACGACGTAAAAAACGCAAAACAGTACTCGCATGTGAAAGTATTGGATGGGGGCGGCGGGCCGCGTCTTGAGCCGGTCCATGCGCTCGTGTACGACGCGCAGCCGCGCGAGCGGGTCCTCCTCGGAAACGGGGAAGTAGAGCCACACAGTGCACACCTTGTTGCCCAGCTCCCAGTCGTCCAGGCTGCGCAGGCTCACTGCAGCCGCAACCACGCGCACAACGAGACGGAGCTATGAGCAAACTGACGATGACGATGACGATGACGATGACGAAATGTTAAGATTATATCGTACCGGGAATGGCGGTGAGGAGGTCCTCTTCGACCAGCTGGTCGGTGTCGAGTAGATACGACCGGAAGGCGGCGGTGAGGGCGGACACGAGCACGTCGTTGACAGTGACGCCAAAGACGTTCTTGATGTACTTGACGTCGTCCAAGCTCACCGGCTTTGACCACGTCACTGCGTATGCCCGTGTGTGGTGCTCAGTGCACCACACGCACACGCACACGCACACGCGATTGATTGGGTGGTAGGCGTACCGGCTTTGTGGGTCGTGAGTCGGCTCTTGAACGAGCGCTTGCGGTGCAGGAGCACGCCGACGAATTCGAGGTAGACGTACATGGCACCCACCAGCAGCAGGATGAACTTCACCATCAGCCTGCCGAACGCTGCCAGCTCCGCTTCCAAACTCCACTCCTCTTTCTCTGTGTTGTCCCACCACACATAGCGATCGCGGGTGTGTCGGCCAGCTTGCAGGCTTTAAAGCAGCGAACTGGTTCGTTCGAGAGAGAGAGAGAGAGAGAGTACCTTTGCGCTTGCGCTGCTCCAGCTCGCGGAGCTGCTTCTCGGCCTGGCCGTACTGCATCTGCCGCAGATCGGCGCCCTCGCCCGCCGCCACGGTGAGCACGGCCCGGATGCTGCCCTGCCCGTCGGCGATGCAGTGCTGCGCGTGTGAACGTCGATCAGTTGCGGCGGCGCAGGTGTATATTAAGGAGGCGGTCCACGTCAGCAAGCAGTAAGGTGGCGGTACGTACGTGAATCTTGACGAACAGGACAGAGGAGCCGTCGGCGAAGCCCTGGATGTCGTACACCATCCACAGCGGCTTCGCGCGGTCGAGCGGCTGGCTCAGCAGATCGCCCAGCCGCTGCTTGAGCCGCTCGTCGTCCCTGTCCGCATCGGAGCCCTTCTGCCCATCTGCATACTTTAGGGACAGTCAAGAGAATGTTAGGAATGCGTGCGTGCCGTTGGTCGTGTGCGTGTGCGGTGGTGCGTGTGCGTGTGTGCTACGTAGGTACCAGGGGAAGCCTGACTATGTGGTCCTCCACGTTCAAGGCCGGCACGTCCTCCCAGTAGGCGAATCCGCCATACGTTACCCGCACCTGCACGTCACCATCAGACATTGGCACGACCAACAACACACAACGACACGACCCAACGAACCAACACGCAATAGCTGAGTGGGAGGGGGGTACGCGCTGCTGGAAGCGAGGGAAGGTGTCGACCAGCCGCTGGAGCGTGGCCCGCACCTCGGCGGCCTCGGGCGGCGCGGCAAAGCGCCAGCAGCCGGCGATGGCCATCAGGTGCTCCGGCTGCTCCGCCAGCAGGAACAGGTTGTCCAACCCTGCCCCCGCGTTTGGTGTAAATCAGAAATAATACAAAATTGATAACTCACTCAATTCAAAGTACCAGCAAGGCGTCGCCGTAGAATGGACCACACGCTTGTCTCTTCATCCTCCGACGGCAGTACACGCAAACGATCATCGGTGGCCATCTTGCCGAGCGATTCTTGAAATGCAACAAAAAAGAAATTGGTTGTTTATTAAAATAAAAGAAGAGAAGCGGCCAGAGTCACCAAAGGCCAAAGCCGTCATCGTACATCTCCTCCTCTGATGATCCCTGGGGCTGGTTCTCCCTGAGCACACAGTGAGAGATATGGCATTGATCGACTCCACGCGTTTGGGGTGAGCGTACCTGGGCCGGCGGGTGGTGCCATCGTCCCACGGCTGCAGGCGGAACAGGGTGGCGAGGGCCGGCTCGTCGGTCACTCGCACAGTACAACCCACAAGTGGTTGCCCACCCTCGGGAGCCAGCGTCATGTACTGGCCCGGCCGGGCGGCGGTGGCTGTGGTTGACGACTGCGCTTCGTCGCTGGTGGCGGCGGTGGTGGTGGGTACCCAACGAAGCCGCACCACACTGTCGAACAGGATCAGGCGCTGCTGGCGGGGCTGATGGTGATTGTCTTCTTCATGGGTTTGACCGTGGTCCTGTTGATGAAGTGGTGCGCTCTGCGACTGCTCGATAGCCCACCGGCCCGCGGGAGGCGGACCCTTGGCCCAACGCGGGTAGAGGCGCAGCTGAAGCGGCTCGCCGTCGATGACCGGGTGCCGCTTGTGGCACGGCTTCTGTGGGCGGCTGCTGATCGGTTCGACCGTGAATCGGGTGGTCGAGTCCATCTCGCGGCCAAGCCCGCACGAGGTGCTGAGATACCGACGACGAGCTTGGCTTGGTCGTGTCCCACCGCCAACATCGGTAGACGTCCCTCCGTCATGCACGACGCGAAGCGCAAACGGGTCGGCGTAGGAGTAGCAAAGGACTCGCTCTGGCTGGGCTGTTGTGGGGTTTATGTGGTGTGTGTGTGTGTGTGTGTGTGTCAAAGGATTGCAATTCAGTAAGTGCGTTGCGTTGTGTGTGCGGCTGGCCGATTGCACCTGCAAAGATGAACTTGTCGTGCCATGCCACGCCCTTGGTCACTCGCTTCAACGCTGATGCCGCTGTGTGACGTTGATGATGAGCCACACCTCGCCCAACGCAAAGCCAGAGCCGGAGCTGGAAGCGCGTAAGTACCGTTATCAGAGGGGACATGCAGGGCGAAGAGCAGGTGCCACAGGTGGTCATCGTGTGCGAGCGCGTAGAGGCGTCGACAGGTCTGGGCCACCGCCAGCACGTCCCGAGGCCGCGCCACCCACACCAGCACCTGCACCACACACTCGTCTGGCAGCACACCCAGCGTGCCATGCGGCCAACACGACTCTGTATAGTGCACCCCCCCCCCGGGTCAGTTCTTCCCCTGCTCTTCGAAACCCGTCGTATGAGGGGGCACGTGCGTCGTTTCACGAAGAGGCCAGCGCCATCAGGCTGGCTCACGTGCAAAGGCACCCGACCAGCAGGTGGTTCAGAACGGTGCATTATCAATAATTATTACAAATATACCCTTGTGTATTTTTCTTTGTTTCTCCAAATAAAAACGAAAATAAAAAGTGATGCTAGCGCGTGCGGTGGCGTGTGCGGTGGCGTGTGTGCGACCACGCATTTGTAACAATATCTTTTGAGAAAGAGAAAAGAAAGAGAGCGATTGTGATGATGACAATGCAACAGGAGCGTGGAAGAAAGAGAAAGAAGAGAAGCACAGGTAAAAGAGAATAAAGAATGTCAGTCGTTTCGGGCGGGAAAGTTCCACAGCCTGATGGCCTTGTCCCAGCCACCCGTGATCAGTCGGCCAGAGTTCGACAGCCCCATACAAACCACGTCCTACCCAATAAATTGGCTATTGGGTAAGAATCACGTGCATGTGTGTGCGCATAATGGGGTGCGTGTGTCGTGTGTGTCGTGTGTGCGTGTGCATGTGTGCGGTAGTACCTTGGCGTGGGCGTTTTCGATCGTGTGTACAAGCGTTCCGCTGTTGACGTGCCAGATCTTAATCGATTTGTCCGCCGAGCCTGTCGTGTCCACCACCGCCGCCACAGTGGGTCAGCCACAGTCCAAGGGCGCAGGGGAGGAGAGAGTAGTAGTTTACCGGAAGCGAGGAAGCCCTCGGGCAGGGGCTGCATGGCGCGGACGGTGGCGACGTGGCCGTCCAGTATGCGCACGCACGACTCCTTCTCGACGTCCCACACGCGCATGGTCTTGTCCTGCGACGCGCTGACCAGGCGTCCGTCGAGGAGCACCGCCAAGGCCTCGACGGCCTTGATGTGCCCGCGCAGCTGCCGCACGCACTGCAGCTCGCCCCGGCTGGCCTCGCCCTCCCAGATGCGGATCACCAGATCGTCGCCCGCTGTAGCGATGCGACCGTCCGGCAGCACGCTCAACGCACGCACCTTGCCCTGCATTCCCCCTCCCTTCAGCACCACCGCCCACACCGCACACACCGCACACGCACCACGCGGGTAGACGTGCCTGGTGACGAGAGAGGGTGGCCAGACAGGCGCCGGTGTCTGGATCCCACACTTTGATGCTGGAGTCCCACGACGCCGAGACCAGCACGCCGTCGGGCAGCACTCCCAGCCGGAACACCGCGTCTCGGTGGCCCTGTTGTCCACAATAATAAAACAATAATAATGATTATTAAACGTTTAGCATAATTAAAAAGGTCGCGTTAGTGTGAAGAGGGCGAGGGCAGGGTACGGTGAAGGTGGCCTGGAGCTTGCCGTTCTTGACGGCCCACAGGTGGACGGCCCCGTCCAGCGCACCCGACGCCAGGCACAGCACGCCCTTGCGCATCACCACTGGAACGATGATCACAATGACGAGGTTGAGTGTCAATGCCAGGCGCGTGTGCGGTGGTGCGTGTGCGTCTGCGCACCTTGAAGCGCCCAGACGGCCTTGGACTTGGTCTTGATCTTGGTTACCTTCCCCTTGGGTTTCTTGGGGTCCCACATGAGAATGGCCGGCGAATCGGCTCCACTGGCCACCATCCCTGCATATTTCCGAATGTGTGTGTCGACTCACAACTTTTGAGTACACACGCCACGCACACGCCGCACACGCCGCACGCCGCACCACACGACACTAGTTGGCGAGTGTGCGTACCGCTGGGCATCGAGCAAATCACGTTTACCTCGTCCTTGTGCACCTCGACCTTGACCGCCTGCGGCGTCGCGTCGCCAAACACCGTCCGCTTGAGGTTGGCCGAGCTCGCTTGTCGCACTGGGATCTGCACACCACGTGTCTCTGATGAGCTTCGTGCTACGGTGCGTGTGCGTGCACGTGCGCGTGCACGTGCGCGCGTGTGTGCGGCCGCATGAAGAGTGTCGTACCAGCGTTTCAAGGTTAAACTCGCTGCTTGTGTCTATTTTCTTGGCGCCCGACGAGGTGTTGATGGTGAGCGGCTCGAGGTCGAGATCGAGATCGTCGTCATCGTCTTCCTCCTCCTCGCCGTCGTTGTCGGCCCGCTTGACTTGCGCAACCTCCGGGTCGCCCGACTTCTTCGTGCTGCCAGCCGCCGCGCCGTTCTCCCCCTCCTGCTCCTGCGCCGGCTCCTTCCCCTTGGCCTCAGCCTCGGCCCGTTCATTCCCTTCTTCGCCCGCCGGCCGCGACGCATCCGCGTTCTGCTCCGCCTCCGCTCGCTTGTCGTCTTCGTCTAGCGGAACGGCCACAGCTGGTGGGCTTGACTCGCCATTGCCATCACAATCGTCATCGCCTTCAGCAGCCTTGCCGTCGCCCTCATCATTTTCATCATCGCCGTCGTCATCACCGCTGCTGCTGTCGTCGTCCTCATCGTCATCGTCGTCGTCGTCGACGACGACGCCCATCGCCTTCTGGCGTTCGACGGTCTTGGCACGCTCGCGCTCTCGCTCGATCTCGAGGTTGGTCAGATACGTATCGATCCACTTGCGCTCGTCGTCTCGCTTGCGGTGCTCCACGGCGGGCTCGCCCTCTGCCCCCGCTGTCGCGTCCTCGGTGGGGAACGGCCTGGGCGTCCTGGGAGTGCTGCTGCCGTCCTCCGCCGCCGCCGCGATCCGCAGGCCCTGATCGAGGCTCACCTGGCGCTGCTTGAGGAACTGCTCCATGTAGCTAGCGATGTCCCCCTTTCCGTAGGTGGTCCTCGCGGTCGCGATCTCGTTCATGCACTGTTTCGCCCATTGGTGTCAAGTCAGTCCCCGCACACGACATCACCGCACACACGCCACCGCATACAACACAAACGCACACACCGCACACGCACCTCGGCAAACTGCTCTGGTGGGCACAAGGCGGGCAGGAGCTGCTTCAAGGGAGCCGTCCGCCGCGCAACCTTTCGTAACCGAGACCTGGGCATACGTTGGGCGTGCGTAAGAAAAGAAAGAAAAAGAAAGAAAAGCGATTGCATTGTGCGGGCAAGGCGGGTGGGGGAGGTGCGTACCGGTTATCGAGGGTCTGTTGCTGTGCGGCCTGCGCGGCCTTGCGCTTGCCCTCGCTCTGTAGCTTGCGCTGCAGGCGGTATTTGCTGTCGACATTGGCGTCGTAGCGCAGCACCTGCGGGCACACCTGCTGCATGATCTCCTCCACCCGGGCTACGATCTCCTTGCACGCGGGCCTTCGTTCTGTTCGGAAGCGGCGAGTCAGAGGGTAGCGAGAAAGAGAGAAGGAATGCAAGGAATTCAGTGTGTGTCGCTTGCGTACCGGGCTGCTGAGCCCAGCAGTCTTCGATCAGCTGCCGATACGCGGGAATGCAGTCCTCGGGAATGGCTGGTCGCTCTCCCGCTTTCACCTGCCGGTCAGAAAAAAGAGAATTAAAACACCACTAAATCAATAAATCATAATAAATAAAGCAGACATTATTAGTAATAAAGAAATGCAAGGTAAGCTTACCTTGTCCTCGACGAGCGACATGAAGCTGACCTCGCCGAAGAAGGCCTTGCGCGTGAGGAGCTCCCACAGGATGACGCCGATCGAGTAAACGTCGGCCTTCTCCGTGTAGATCTTGTTCTCCATCACCTCCGGCGCCAGCCACACGGGACAATCGACCCGCCGACCCGCCGTGTGGTGCGCGGCACTGATCGACACGCCGAAGTCGCACACCTTGGCCACCAGTTCCGAGTCGGGCGAGATGTCGGCCAACTGCTCACATGAACGACACGACTCAAAAATAAGCATAGATGATGAATGACACGCACGAGTGTGTCATGTGTGTGTCATGTGTGTCATGTGTGGCGTGTGTGTTGCGAGTGGACGCACCAGAATATTGGGCGATTTGATGTCTCGATGCATGACCGGTGGCGAGCTGTTGTGCATGAATGCGCAGCCCTTGGCTGCGAGTTGAGAGAGAGAGATAGAGAATCAGTCGCGAATAGAGATCGAGAGCGAGGAATGCGAGCGAGCAATGTACGGGCATACCGATGTCCTTTGCGATCTTGAGGCGCAGCGGCCAGTCGAGCTCCTTGCCAGATTCGAGGTACTGGTCGAGCGGGCCGCCGGCGACGAACTCAGTCACAATGCACGGAGGCTGCGCGCAGAAGCCGCGCAACGCCACCAGGTTCGGGTGGGCCAGCCCGCTGTGTGTGTCGTTGGCCGTGTCGTGTCAATATTGCGGGGCGTATGGTGGTTGAGGCGCAGTGGGGGGGAGCAAACCTCATGATCCACACTTCGTGGCGGAACTCTTCGTGGGTCTGCGTGGAGGAACAGTCCGGCGCATCGGGCAGTGCCTCCCGGAGCTGCTTGATCGCCACCACCTCGCCCTGGAACGTGCCCTTGTACACCGTCGCATAGCCGCCTGTACCACCACCACCACCGCACCACATAACACATACGATCACAATTAAGCCGCAACGCACGCATATGCCCACAAACACATCAAACACAACAACTCGCAACAAGAGCGTACCTTCGCCGATGGGGGTTTCCTCCTTGGTGAGGTCGACGAAGGCGATCTTGTGGCTGTCGAGGTGCACCATGGCCAGGTCGGGCGCCGCGCTGTCCAGCCGCACCGGTGTCGGCTCCGCACCTGTCGCCGGCATACAAGAAAATAAATATACATAAATAACAGTAACAAATAACAACAAATAACAATTAAATAGAAAGAAAAAACGGGGTGCGGGTACCAGAGCCGCCGATGCCGCAGTAGAGGGAGGAGTCGGCGGGGTTGGTGGCGGCCTGCTGACACTCCTGAATGGGGAAGAGGTAGGGCTCCTGGTCGAGGCCGCGGAACACCATGCAGTGCGGACACGGCACAAGCACGCGCGACTGTTGTTGCGTGTCGTGTGTCGTGTGTCGTGTGTCGTGTCATGTGCGGTTTGGAATTGTGTTGCGTTTAGAAAGAAGCGGCAAAAAAAAGGGTTGAGAGCGATTGAACGAACCTCGAGGTTGTACCACTCCTTGACGAGGGAGTCGATGGCGGCGAAGACCAGCCAGCACAGATTGGACATCTGCTCGCCGCGCAGCTCCGTGCGCACCAGAATGTTGAGCTGGTCCTTCTGGGGCACCAGCTCCACCAGTATCTGCTCCCTGTTGATGGCGACCATTCCCTCCGGTGAGCCCTGGGCTTCAGCTACGCGCGCCATTGGGGAAAAGAGAAGCGAAGCAAAGTACTTGGCAATGCGGGCCAGCATGCCGTTGCGCCAGAAGACTTGGGCGGCGATCGGGAAACCCAGGAGTCGGATCATCAGCCGACCCATGAAGCCCTGAAAACAACGAGAGCGGACGTTGAGCCAACAAACACGTCGCACTTTGAAACAAAAAGGAATTGCAGAGAATGAAGAGAATGCGTACCGACGGCACAAAGTCGAATCGATAGCTGCGCCCGAATATGTTTTCCTCCGCACCTGCGCGAGGCCGGTCGGCAGACCGACGAGCCTCATTAGCGTTGGCACGTGTGACAGCACCCCCTGCTAGAGGCCGAAGGACGTACGTATCAGAGGAGCCCACAGCTGGGCTAGTTTGGCCGGCTTCTCCTCGGGCAACAGCGACGGCACCAGCGACGAGTTCTGGTCGGCCTTCACGCTCCGCTCGCTTTCGTCGTCTCCCGTGAAACCTTTATTTTTTCCCCACAACCACCATCAGTCATGAAAAATGCTAATAACGGTTCATTTCAATATCACTAAAACAATAATGCTATAATAGAATAGCTACGTACCGAGTTTGTGGGCGTGGCCTTGGATGGGGAACGTGATCTCGAAGCGCTCGAGCAGCGACAGCAGGAAGTCGTGCAGCTCGGGCGGGTAGGCCGGAGCGCGCCAGATCTGCGGCAGCGCCGAGTGGGCGATCACACCGTCTCTGTGGAATTGCAGGAGCAGTTTGAGACCCTACGTCGCATAAAGCCGTGCATAGGGAGCTGGTTCTTACCGACAGAAGTTGTGCTTGGTCGACACCACAGTCGACATCACGTCCATCAGCCACTGCGGCTGTAGTATCACCGCGTCCCGCAGCTGCACCCCCACGCAACCAAACGAGTTCAGCCGGGCATGCGTGTGCGTGGCGTGGGGCGCGTGTGTGCGGCGTGTGGCGTGTGGCGGCACCTTTTCTTCGTTGGGGAAGTGCACGAGTGAGCCCAGGTTGTGCAGGAGGGTGGTGGCCGTGCGCAGATCGTCGCCCGACTCCTCGACATTGCTCAGACGCGCCAAATCGCGGTACTCGGCCCACGTCATCACCGGCGGCACCTTGGTCTTGGCCTGCACTGCGACCGCCTTCTCGAGCGCCAGGTAGCTCGACGGCATCGCGCGCCCCATGTAGTCCTGGACCCCAGCAGAGACAGAACAATGCCACGTCAGCTCCAATAATCAAAAATAATATGCATACTAGTATGTGTGGAATGTGGCCGAACCTGCTTGGCGACGACTTTGCGTATGCTGGTCATGAGCTGGTCCATGTTCTTGCCGGTCACGGGGCTCACGAAGTGGATGCCCACCACGTTGGGGTACTTCTGCTTGACCTTCTTCTCCAGCCTCGACTTGAAGTTGGCCAGGAATTCCTCGGTGCACTGCTCGCTCTCCACATGCGTGCCAACGATCAAGATTGGCGAGTCCTTTGCCGCCGCGTTCACCGATTGGAGCCTACATGGCCGCAAGAGAGCGCCAGTTAGCAGTTAGGTATACATATAGTATAACTATTGTAACATATATTTCTACATCTACAGTATATATAAATGCCAGCCATTCCGTACCAATACTCGACGCGGGACTGGACGATCGAGGTGAGGTTGAAGAGGACCAGGAACAGGGAGCGCTCCGATAGGAAGAACTGGTGCGTTGCATAGTAGATCTCCTGGCCTGTTGTTGTTGTTGTACAAATATGTAAGGAATTTCGCCGTGAGTGGTCAGCGGCCTGCTCTGACATGTCAGACCAAGAGAGGGGATGGGGGGCTGAGAGAGTTTACCGGCAAAGTCCCAGGCGGAGAGCTCGACGTGGGGTGCGTCGGGACCCCACACGGGGTCCATGGGCATATTCCAGCCGTTGATGTCGATGCCGTCCGTCGACACCGGCGCCGCGTGTGTCGCTGCACAGAACAAGATCGAGCCGATCAACCACACCACTCTGGAGTGCAAAACAGTGAACTGAAGGAACAAACAGACGGACGTACGGCTGATTGTGTCATGTCTAGTGATGGTCGACTTCCTGCTCACGCCCTTGCGCTGCAACGCGCGCATGACCGACGTTTTGCTGCGACAGCGACGGAATGGACGTCAGCTACTGCAGGTGGGGCAAGAACGACATAAGGGAAGGGGGGGAGTACCCGACGTTCTCTTGGCCGACAAACATGACCTTGAGTCGATAGCACGGCTCCTGGCCCTTGAGCAGCTGGCCCAGATAGGCCACGATGCTCATCGATCCCAGCGCAACCACCTCCGGTGGTGGTGACCTATAATGGCCATCTCAAACGTGAGTAACACTCGAGCCCGCACTCATGACGAACACAGCACGACACGACACGCACGACACACACGACAATAAAAGAGGTGAGAAGAGTACTTGAGACGTCCGTTCTGGGTGCCGACTTCGAACTTCTCCAGCTGCGTCATGTTACCGAGCTGGGCGGGCAGCTCGACGATGGCGTTCTGTTCGACGGTGAGCCTGCGCAGCCGCGTGAGCTTGGCCATCTCGGCGGGCACGCCGTCGAGCCGGTTGTGGGTGAGATCGAGCGTGTAGAGCGTGCGCGCCATGCACCCGATGTCGGGCGACAGCGCCGTGATCTGGTTGTTCGAGAGCAGCAGGCACTGCATGTTGGTCCACTGCGCGAAGCAGCCCGAGGGCAGCGACGCCAGGTAGTTGTTGCGCAGGTCGAGGTGGGTCAGCTGTCGCAGCTGCACCAGATCTGCCAACTGGTGACCCTGCGACGTCTCCTCGCCTCGCGCCGGTTGCGGAGCCAAACAGTTCCTGAGGCAGCGGAACCAAAAATAAAATAAAACAAAATGAACAAAAACCATAAAGATGAGAAGAAATAAAACCATTGAATAGAATAGAATAAAGAAAAGCGAAAAAGCAAACGCACCGCGCGTGCAGTTCCTGGAGGGACGAGACATGGGCGATGCCGCGGGGCAGGGCGGTGAGGATGTTGGCCATGAGCGTGAGCACCCGCAGGCCGGTGCAGTTGGCGATGCCGTCGGGCAGGCTCGACAGCGAGTTGTGCGAGACGTCGAGCACCTCGAGCGACGACAGCGATGCGAACAGGTCCGCGGGCAGCGTCGAGAACCCGTTGCCGGCGATGTTGAGCGACGTGAGCGACGGCAGACGCAGCACCGCCTCCGGAATCGTTCTCTCCCCTGTAATCCGATGACCGTTTAGAAACGAGCACACGACACGACACACGACACGCAACGCACGGAACACGGCACACGCGCGAACGCACACGACACACACGACGTGCCTTGCTCGGTGAGGAGGCGGTTGCGGGAGAGATCCAGCACGCGCAGGTTGGTGAGCGTGGCGAAGTCCTGCGGCAGCTTCTCGATGACGTTGTTGGCGACGTTGAGCGCGGTGAGCGTGGTGGGCAGCTGGTCCATGCACCAGATACGGTTGTGGCTCAGGTTGAGCTGCTCCAGGCGCACGAACGGGCTCACCCAGTGGCCGTTTTCGTCGACACCCGCGTCGTTCTGCGCGAACGAGGCTAGCATGTTGTGCGACAGGTTGAGCGACTGGAGGTCGGTCAGGTGTCGCCGGCAGGGCGCCAGGCACGAGATGAAGTTGTTGGCCAGGTTGAGCGCAGAGAGCGGCGGCAGCTCCTCGATCGCCGCCGAGGGGACCGTACACAGCGCAAGGTTGCTCAGGTCGAGCGACAAACCGGACTGCTCCAGCGACACCTCTGCAGAAGTAGAATATAAAAGGCAATATTAAAACAACGGTGGGTGGCCACCGCACGTACGACACGACACACGCTTTTCTGGGCGAGGAGCACGTACGAGCAACCGCCGCTTTGATTTTCTCGGTGGCCTTCTTGCTCGGTGCAGCGGCCCAGCGCAGGTAATACTCTGTTCGAGAAGGAGATCAGCCCCGGCAGACCTTGAGGTGGTGTTTGGGGGCTGGGGCGTACCGGCCCAGAGGGTCACCTGGGCCGGGCTCACGGTGAGCCTCGGAGTGGCCTTGTGGGCGTTCGGGTCGTAGGCCGAATTGAGGAACTCTTCCTTGTTGCTCATGATGTAGGCCCACACGGGCTGCGTCTTGCCCAGATCAAGACTCCCTGGCCAGGTGCACCGCACGACACACACGCGCGATCGTACACACGACAAGCGCACACGGTGAGTGAACAGGCCTGAGTGAGCCATGACCGCGGCATGCGCGTACCTTTGAACTCGCTCTCGCTGCGAGCTGGCCAGGAAGGAGCCGAAGCGACAGCTGTACACCGAGTCGAGCAGGAAGATGAGCAGCGACGGCGCGAACTCGAAGTGGCTCGGCCACTGCGCCAACAGCTGCCACACTGGACCGAAAAAAACAGATTAACAATGGTGAGATCTGCCAACGCAGCGTGGCAGCGGGACTGTGTGCGCGCGCGTGCGTGCGTGCGTGCGTGTTTGGTGTGTGTGTGTACCTGCGTCCATGAACTGAACAAACAGGGTCGTGTAGTGCGTGGAGTGGTATTTGGTGCCGTTGCTCTGGCCCCAGGCAAAACCTGAGTTGTTTGTTCACGCGGGAAGCAGTGGTTAGCTAACAACTGCGCGGGCGGTTCATTCTTCTGGACTGGGGAGACTTACTGAAGGCGATCCACTCCTTCTCGAGCAGTGTACAGAACCCTTGAATCGTGTGATAGAAGGGGTCCAGGCATATCTAAACAGCGCAACGGGCAAGAAGTTGCATCACAACGCGCACGAACGCAAGGCGGGCTGGGCTGCCGGGGCAGCGGGGGTACGGGAGAGTACCTGCGCAAGGCTGACGAGGTGCGGAACCGAATCGTTGCCGAACTGGCTCATCACCACGACCGGGTTGGACGCCTGGAGATGGGTCACCACCTGATCGGCGGCGGCGAACAGCTGGCTGATGCCGGTGAGCCACTTGGACGAGTTGGCGGCGCGCCGCCACTCCTTCGCACTCTCGTGCCGGTGCGACATGAAGAGCTGCGGGTCAAAGGACGCGATCAGGCCGTTGAGCTTGACCAGACTGTCCTCCACCTCGGCCGGCTGCAACAGGTGCGTCTTGTACTTGAATATCTGGCCCCTGTCTACAACCATAACAAGATCATATATATATGATCATCATCACTCAACGATTAACCAACG